TCTTACAGATACTGTTTAATAATAAATTTACTACGAAATATATTAAAGGGGGGCCCTTTTTTTTTTTTTTTTTTTTTAAATTTAAAACATACATGCTGCTTCCTAGGGCAAAGGAGCTTCCAACTCCTGTTTTTTCTGAAAGGTCCTATTACAAAAACTCTGTCCCTGGATCCTGACCAGAGTGCAGCCACTACCACAATTTTATGGGCCCTAGGCCAGTGTTTCTCAAATGCAACCACCGTGGCCGCATGTGGCCACCAGGGGCTTTTCTTGCGACTACAGCCTCCCGGGCTGTTATGGGGGGTGGGTAGAGAAGGAGGAAAAAAGTCACGAGTTGCCCCTCCCTGTTGCTTCTGGATGCACCGTCTTGGTGTTGATCACTGGGGTGCCAGCAGGGGTTGGGCCCTGTCCCCCCTTTGGAAACACCTGGGGCACAGTGCTGGAGAACCAGGCAGCCGGTGAGTTCCCCACCTTCCCAGGGGCTGTTGGGCTCAGGCTTGGGGCTTCAGCCCTGGAGTGGCAGGGCAGTGGGGTAGCAGGTTCTGGCCACAGGGTTTCGTGCTCCAGCCCCCCACTGCCTCCCACCCACCCCCATTGTTCCTGGCCCCTGCTGTCTCCCACTCCCCACTCCAGAGCTTAATTTGTTCCGGGGCTTGACAGGGCTGAGTAAGTCTGTTGTGAAAAGCAATACTTGTATGTTTGTTAATATCGCTTTTCACAACAAACTATCTAGGGGAAAAAAATTATAATGATTTGGACATATATATGTGCATATTTATTTGTTTTTCCTAAAGCTAATTAAGTATTTTAGGGAAAAGTGTGAGCGCGGCCAAAAGCAAGAGTTGGTGGCCGCACTCTGAGGCCACCAAAACATTTGTCCTGAGAACCCCTGCCCGAGGCACACACCTGTGTGACACACTTCTGAAAGAAGGAAGCACCTGTCCAGCTGCCTAGCCCCTCTGAGCACAATGATGACTCTTTGGACTCCCCTATACTTACACACCCTCTTCCAGAAGCAGTTCACACACACTCACACATTTGCTCTTTTTCAATACTAAATCATACAAAGCCAAGAAGAGTAGATCATACAAAACAAACTTCTTAACTACGATGCCACTTTCTAGCTCACCCTTCCCCTGGCAGTCCTTCGGGACCATTGATATCCAGGAAGGCACGGTACAGGTTGAACCTCTCTAGTTTGGCACCCTCGGAACCTGACCGGTGCCAAACCAGAGAATCTGCCAAACCATGGGAGGTCAATATTGTAGCGAGCCTCTCTTTATTTTTATCTCGCTGAGGCAAATAAATGGAACAACGCTTGCAACACCACCTAGCCAAGGCTCACCGGCTCTCTTTATAACAAAAGTGTTAGAGTAGTTACACAATTTTACTCTATTGACACAAGGAAATATATAGATAAAGCATAAAAAACATCAAATAATATGAAAAAGAAAGATGATAATACAGGTAAATCTATAATTTACTCACCTAAAATGCTGCCTGAATTCCGCTTCCAAAGTGATGTGACAAGAACTGCTAACTCAAATTACATTCGTGTTACATCTGGGGTCTCTGCTGTAGGTATATCTGGGGTAGATGAAGTGGAGATAACAGGATTTTCGACTGTAGAGTGCTGCTCACTGCTGCTCTTCGCTAACTTTAACCAATCTTCCAGCTTGTCTTATGTATTTTGGTTTTTCTTTAATGAGTTTTTCTCATATCATGTAGAGCGACATGATCACTTGCTCAGAAATGAAATGTCTTTGCTCCAGTCCTCCTATTAAATTTGTTGCCAACTGAATCCATTTATCTATAGAAATTTTTTCTGCAACATCCTCATCATCATCTTCATCACCATGACTGGCTTCTTCGTTATCTTTGTTTTTTCCCTGCTATACCATTTGCACAATTTCTTCATCTGTCATTTGAGTAGCAATTGGTGCATCTTTGTCGACTTCCATCCAGTCTAGTAAATTTTCCTCTCCCAAATCCCTGGCCAGCTCAACCACTACAGGGTCGGACATACCGCTGGCATAGTCCATTAACTCACTAACAATTTTTTGGTTTTCAGACACTTGAAATGCAGTGAACTCGGACTCGTCATTGACGTCAGGACTGTCCTCAAACATTAGGGTTGGCAACAATTTGTGCCATCCATTCTTCTGAGTAGATGGAGTTACTCTTTCCCAGGCTCTAGCTAGTGTCCAAATCATATCCTTGAGGTTAAATTCTTTCCTAAATGTTGTCAAACTCTTCCTATCATTAAGTGATACTAGCAATTGGTGCATAAACTCAGACCTGTACATATACTTCAGGGATCGTAAGATACCCTGATCACCAGGCTGAATCAGGGAGGTACAGTTTGGGGGTAAATACAGACCCACCACATTATCTTTGACAAGCAGCTCTGCGTTAGGGTGGGCAGAGCAATTGTCGAGAATCAGCACAATTTGGCACGTCGGATCCAGGCCTACCGAGGTGCAATGGGCTCTTGCCTCCAGTACAAAATATTTCTCAAACCACTCGAGACATAGATTAGTCGTTATCCATCCCTTTTGTTGCCATGATATATCACTGGGAATATTTTCACCCCTTTGAATGCCCTTGGGTTCATACTTTTCCCAATAATCATGAGCTTGCATTTGTGTGTGCCTGTTGCGTTGCTATACCCAAGGACAGTTATCCTGTCCTTTGACTCCTTCGTACCAGATGGTGGCCCCTTTGCATCAGTCGCCAATGGTTTTTTTTAGGCATACAGTGCCAATAAAGAGCAGTTTCATCAGCATTGTATACCTTCCCCAGCGGATAACTTCTCATTTGCAACTAACTGTGCAAATTCGTCAACGTACTTAGCGATAGCTTCCGTATCTGCACTTCTTTTTTCACTGCACACATGACATAGACTAATGCCATGCCAGTTTTTAAATTTCTGAAGCCATCCTTGCAAATAGTCACTCACACTTACACTGCAGGTTAAGTTCTTTGTGGAATATTTTTACTTGTGCCATCATCATCTCATCTGAAATGTTAACACCATTGTTCCTATGAAGCTTGAACCAATGTATAAGCGCACTATCTAAATTGCTGCTTTTCCCCTCCTTCAATGTCTTACAGACACTCATACTTTTTTTTACTATCACTTTCAGCAAAAAAATAAAGGATTTGTGTCACGGGGCGGGACTCACCCTTGTGGCACCTCCCACTGGTCGTCCAGGGAATTAGCGTTTCCAGCCTCCGGAGCACCCTCTTCAGGCCAGTGTCCCGCTTGCCACTGGGCCCGAGTCCCTCCTGGACCCCAGTGCCCCTTTCAGGCCGGGGTGCTGCCCCCTGGCAATACCCCCACAGATCCCTCCCCCGGTAACCCCCACCCTCTATCCCCACCTCTCCTCAGACTATGGCTACTGCCAGTCTCAATCTAGCCCCCGTTCACTGGGGCAGACTGCAGTGTAAATGCCTCTCATCACCGGCAAGGGGGGGTTGAACCTGCTGCCTCTGCCTACCCCCGGGCTGCACCCCTGCAACCCCAGTACCTATTTGGCCTTAGACAAGGTCTGCAGCTTGGGGGTTTTCCAGGCAGGAGCTCCCTGGCTCCCTTGCCCTATTCCCCAGCACTGCTCTACTCCGGTACCTGCCAAGTCCTCCCCTCTCTACTGCTAGAAAGGGACTCTGTGTGCTCCTGCTCTCTGCCCTCTTATAAGGGCCAGCTGGGCCCTGATTGGGGCGTGGTCGCATCTGTGGCTGGTTCCCCAATCAGTCGAGGCTTGCTGCTTTTCCTAGCAGCAGCCCTCTCCCGGGGCTGATTTCAAGCCCTTCAGGACAGGAGCAGGTGACCACCCCACTACAATTTGATTCTTTTGTTTCTTCAGATCATACACTATAGATGGCCCTATATTGTAAAACTCACACAAGGCACATACCAATGTGCCCTTTTACAATTTCTGCAGCAATTCCACCTTTTGCTGTATGGATATTGGCACATGCTTACGCTTAGCAGCATTACCAACACTTCCACTGCTTGCTGGTCTCTTAGAAGATATATTTAGGGGTCAATTAGAGCTAAATAACAGCACAGAACATTGAGAGCCAGGACTGGCGGGACTTTGCTGGATCGCAGGAAACTTGGCCCCACCCACGCTAAGCGGATATCTGGCTAACTAAAATCATCCCAGACCCCAGATGTTGCTGGACCAGAGAGTGCAGGACTAGAGATGTTCAACCTGTATCCCTTGCCTCGTACAGGGGGTTACATGGTGGGTGATCTCTCCCACAGCTTCTGTGACCTTGCTCTCTCCTGTCCAAGGCTTCCTTTTCCTGTCTGGTTTGGTTTTAAACACCACACCCTGCTCCTTGGTTCTGTCTTTTGGGTAAGTTTCCACTACTCCTATCTACCCCCTCTCTTCAGGGAGTTAGGCTCAAACTGGTTTTCTTAAGGATGCAGCTGCTTTGCATCATAATCTTTGTTGGGTTTAAGTACTGTGGTTAACCTCAGGTATTTCCCACTGTCCTGTTTGCTGTGAAGTTGCTATAGAACCTGTCAGAAGTGGTAGATCAGTTTTTCATAATATCAATCAGATTTCATAAGTTTTACAAACATACTGCCAATTCATCACAGCCTCTAGAGGCTAATACAGCCACTGGACTCTTATACTGTCTTTCCCTTCTACCAGATGCTGCTGCATAAGCTGAAAGGTCCCACTTATTGTCCCCGGGATATAAATACCTTCCCATGTGGGGAATCCAGAATGAAGAATTCACAGTCAGGTGTGGATTCTGGAATTGGTGAAAGCATGACGCACACAATGACTAGTGAGAGATTGCAAACTCCCTCCTCAAAAACATTTTCCCCTGCTTTTCACAACTTGGTAGAACTCTGTTTGCAACAGGACCCCGAGAAAAGGTAACTTACTTCTGAACACTAATATTCACTGTCACTTTAACATAAGATACAGCATAATCTAAGGTGAACTTGGAATCTACTAAGTCGTATACAACTGACAAATTCAATGTTAAGATGAAGTGCGTCGGTTTCTTTTCACAACACTAAATTATCAAAGTGCCAGGCCAACATTGTCTTGGTCTGAAGAATGATCTTCGACATGCTTTTAAAATCCTATTTCATCACTGATTTTGAAGCTTTCTTGGATAATAGATTGCTTGTTTCTAAAAATATGTTTGAAAAACCACAGTTTGGCAAGGAGACGCAGGAAGGGCTAGTTCCAGAAACTAGTTTAAACTGTTAAATTCTGCTAGATTTCAACAGGATGATTTATCCCTCTAACACTTTATGGCTACTATGGAGGCTGAGAATTGAATGTACTGGATCAATGAACTCACTGCCTCTAGTAATGCCCTCACAGTAAAGTTGAGGCACAGAATGAAGGAAGCTTGTGCTGCCTCTATTCAGGCTGCACTTGTTCAGTGGACAAATAACCCTAGGGCCTAGAGTGCATGGCCAATCTGGCATCTTCCACAAACACCAACACCAACCCTTACTTTCAAAACATAATCTTGTGTTTTCCATTTTATGATCCAGGCCATCAGCAAGCAGTTTGCTGTCACACACTTTCTTCAAACAGGTGAGTGTACTAAATTCTTACTGTTGAGAAGAGTTAACTGCAGCCTAAGTAAATGGCAAAATATTAAAAAGTTGGGTAAAGTAAAAGCAGTTGTAAAGTAAAATCACGCTCTAACAGCCAGGATGCTGCAGACAGCTCTTTTACAAAATGTCATATCATCTAGAATCTTGTGCAACGCATAACACAGCAATCATGTCCTCTGTTAAATGAAATTTGAAAGCTTATTTAAAGGATTAAAATTTATTGAAGTGAGCTTAACCATTGAGATATTTTGGTTGAAAAACCACATTTTAAGTCAAGCTAATCATTTAACTTGACTACAAACTTACAAACATTTGTGGTCAATCTACTCTGGAGTGACGAAGCTAGTCTCAAACTCTGCCTTCTCCAGCATTATAGCACACAAGGCTGCTGCTATACCCTTTCATGCACTTTTAGTAAAGATGTACACAGTGTTTCAGTGGACTTGTATGTACAGCACTATTTTATCCGGTTTGTTTTTTTCCTTCAGGTAAAAGAACAAACAAGGAGTTCCTTACTTTCACTGTTGCCACCTCCTATCCAACACAATAGACCACAATTCTTGCCACTGCCCTCAAGAGCAAGCAGGCCTGAGTTTGCGTGTTTTTACCCAAATGAAAGAGACATAGAGTGGGACTTTTAAAACAATGACAAACCATCATACCTCCCCCATGCTTCAAAGAAGGAAAATGTGATTTCTACTTGCTGCTTTTCTCTGTATTGGTTTAAATACAAATACAAGAGCTATACTTGAACATCTGTGGTGTGTACATGATTTAAAGCTGGCACTGTAAAAATGCAGTAGGCCTCACTTTCCTAACCCCAGGGAAAAAGTTAATCTTAAGAATATTGATGCTTTTTATCCTTCTCTTCTTCCCACCCCTTTGGACTTAATCCCTTGGCAGAAGGCTCCTTCTATAGCCTTATCTGGTATTGTACTTATTCATAGAACTTCTACTTGAAGAATACTGCAATCAAATGCAATCCTGAATTTCCAATTACTGTATCACTACGTTCAGGTTCATATCGAGCCTCTCTGTGGCCTTCAACTGGACTGTTAACCCCAGTATTGTGGTACCAGCTCTTTTACTGCATTGCCCTCAAAGGCATTTTTGGCCTTTATAAATGATTTTATTAAATCTTTTTCTATATGTGCAAATGCCAGAGCTCATGCCTCTCCTCACCTGAACTGCTTTTTGTTCCATTGACACATGATAGATATCTTACATTTTAAGACTCTATCCTCTAGGTTTTATATAACCAGCCAGAGTCATTTGGGCAGCTTAATACTGTTGTCTAGAGAAGTCTATACATTTTGCAACTAACATTCACTCTTCCAGAGTAGCAATAGCCTTAATAGCATCTGCCTAAATACAGAATTGTACTTTGGATACCTCACTCTCTGCTTTATTGCATCACACTTCCAGTTACCAAAGGAGTTATCATAATGCAGGGTAATGCAGGGTTGGTGCTTCTGAAATGTCCCTTTAGTGTATGTTAATAACTAAAGAATATATAACTAGGTAAAAGTAAGTTACTTATAATGTAGTACTAAGAGCTTATAAATCCTTTCACCCGAACTGTGCAAATTTTCTTTAAAGAACTTGCTGTTCTACCACATTGCAGAAGCACAAGCTCAGGCGTGCCGGGGCCATTGTTGTGTACCACTGTTATTGCTGGCTATGACCTAGTAACCCTGAGCCTCTTTCAAATTTGGGTCTTCCAGTTTAACACACAGGACAGATTCAGTCCTGGCAGAAGAGAAGATACAACATCCATTTGCCAGCGTCTGAAGAAGATCTCAGTGTTTTGGATTATTTTAAGACATGGTAGGGTGGGAGAGACAATTTTTGAAGACTACATCACCCATTAGTATGCACATTCAAAATAGACCACTGTATGCAGAACAGAAATAAGCAAGACCATTTTAAAAAAAAACAACCACCAACTTACCTTTAAGTCATGGTTTAGCAAAGTTTTTAATCCCAGAAATACAAGACTATTAAACCTGCTTCCTGACTAAAATAAAAAAGTATATAATTTTAACTTATGGTCTTAGCCATCAAGTGAACATGTTGAAGTGTAATAAGAGAATGGGCTTATCCTATTAGTCAAAAATCTTTCTCTCTGGTTTTGAGGGCTTTATTTTTAATTGTGGTATATCATTTACATAGATCATTTGTAAATACTAGTACAATACTTGTAAAATATAGGTCAAACCTAACTAAATTGTAACATTTCAAAATAGGTGCACAGATTTATGTATTAAAAACATCTGTACTTCAATTACATACCTCTTAATGAAGTAACTGACTGATAATGTTATTTTAGAAAACAAGGAACAACTGAAATTACTGCAGCTATTTAAATATTTGACAAACTATACTATGCTAACCTGTTTAAGTCTTCCATTGGAGAAATAGTACCATGCATCATTAACTGGAATCAAATGTTGTCCATAATTACAGGCCTAAACTGAGTTATGCATCCTAATTGCTACAAAGGTGTTACTTGCTATTTCAGTTTCTGTATGTGGCAAATGAGTAATTAAAATATCTAAGAAAGTTACTGAATAAAATAACTTCTATAACCTTCAAAATGAAAAATCTTTATTCAAAAAATGTTAAAATTGAGTACCAATAATTTATTTGCTTCGTATTTCTAAAACCAAAGCCATGGAAAAACATGAGTCTGTCCCCCTAATTATTCTTATAAAGTATTAGAAGTACTATTTCATCACAACACCGTGACCTGGGGGGGAAGGAAGGACTGAATGCATTTTGGTTATCTCAATTTTGGTATCTAAATGATAATGTTAAGTGGGAAATATCACTTAAATACATTGACAGACTATTTTGGTTAAGTACTATAATAGCAAAAGTGTATAATCATATCATTTTCCATGTTCCAACTACCAGACTTTGGTAACAGAAATCAAGGAAGTAAAACTTTGGTATATTCTGGCAGCCTGAGCCCACTCCTGTTGTTCTGATTGAACAAGCCTTCCTATACAACTGGTGTTTAAAGAAATCCTAGATACATCTTTACTAAATATTTGAAATTACTGGCTGCCGAATTGTATTCTTTCCCTATTCCAAACTGTCATGAATGCTTAAAAGCAGAATAAAGCCCACTCAATACTTGCCTGCAGACCATTTGTTTGTTTAGTTTGCCTACATCAATTATTTAGGTAGTAAATGAAGGGACTAGAGGCAAACAAGTGAAAGTTCCAGACATTTGATGAGTTCTTTTAATTCCACATTTTTGGGCCTAAATTTTCAAGGTTGAATAGTGACTTTGGGTGTCTAACTGGAGACACCTCACAAGGACCCTTTTGGGCAGATAAAAGTTCTATATGCTCACAAAGTCCTTACAGGTTTCAGAGTAGCAGCCGTGTTAGTCTGTATCCGCAAAAAGAAGAACAGGAGTACTTGTGGCACCTTAGAGACT